CTTACGTTTACTATACAAATGTGTTAGTCACTCTTCTTCTCAACTTACTTCCATATACTTTTTTTTGTCATGTAAAACTCAATCTATGATTAAAAATTTATCCCAACAAGCCTGCCCGACGAAGCCGGGCAAGCACAAATTAAACTTCTAGTTCTTTTAGAACGAATGTACATGTACTTACCTATTCAGTTTCCCCTGGTATCATCTAATTTAGATGCGGGTGCATCCTCACTTTGTGAGATAATAAAGTTGCTCTTTTCTTCATTGTCTTGTGATAGCTTTTGTTCCAATTTCACAACCCTGAATCTGAGCTCAATGTTTTCTTTTGTAGATCGTTCTAATTCCACAGTTCTAACTTCAAGCTCTTTTTTTTCTTTCGCAATCTGTTCCAATTCTTGTTCAATGCATGAAATGCACTTTCGGAAATCGTTATATAAGATGCAGATTTCGAGTCAAAAATTACATATGCGTGAAAAATTCACTTTCGCCATACAACATAACAAATCCTGAAATATGCATGTAAAAGTAAACGTGATTGTTTATGTGATCAAAACAAATGTGCAAAAAGAATTGCTATCATTCGTCTCTTGCTTTTTAATAACAATTATCCGCAGTAATATACGAATTTGTGTAACTTTACCTTTGTGTGCTGTGCTTGAGTAACATAGACTTTTATGGCAGTTGTACGACAGAGAAATTTTTCACATATACTGCCAATGCCCCAAAAACAACAACCAAAAAAAAATTTTTTTACCTCTAACAAATAATCCGGCTTTACCGCATTTTTTGTATAACCTATAAGAGCACCATGAACATGTCTGAACAAAGTAGTCCAGCTTCTGCTTCTACAGCTACTCTAGTGGAGGTGGTTCGGAAATACAATACTGAACAACTTATCGATTTTTTGCGAGAGAATGAAGAAGACCTGCAACTAAACGACGTTCATTTTGAAATCTTACACAAAGAAGAGATCACTGGTCGAGATTTTCTTAATTCAACCAAGCAAGATTTTATAGATAATGGCCTGAAAGGTGGGCCCGCGAAAAGACTCGCAGACTTCGCCAAAGAAATTAAAGGAGGTAAGTAAATGATTTTTTCATTCACACCATGTCATATTCGCCAATAATACCTAATACTTACATAATCTTTTGCTTTTATTTCCTGCTTCTTATCATCATTACGTATCATAGATCAACTTGCTGGTAAGTGATTTGTAATAAGTTTTTCAATGCGAGTGAACTTACTGCTTTTCGCCGTTACTTTTTAACGTGTACACTATTTTTCTCGTTATCATTCCTTTCCTTATTATCACTGTCCTATTAATCAATCCAGGTAGACCCGCTAAGAAACAAAAATTAGGAAGTAAGTTTGCACCAGAGGGGTTAAAATAGGCGAGCTGTCAAAATTTTATGTGGAATTAGGATAATCACTTCTTTAATTTATTCTTTCAGATCCATTGTTTACAAATATATTAGAAGTGGTCCTTAATCTTAGGAAAACACTCCCGGAAAGTTTACAAGATAACATTGAAAGAATGTCAGAGGAACAGGAAATAGAGCAGGAAGAGTTGACTTCAATTAATACAAATCTAATCCAGCATGTTGGCAGAAAACCACTTGCAGTAATTAAGGAACATGTGCTATATGTACGGGAATCTTACAGGGATCTATATCACATAGTTACTAATAAGAATTGTGACCCCAGGTTCCTCATATCTGGCACATCAGGTGTTGGCAAATCATGTTTCTTGATTTATTTATTAATCCGGCTCTTGTGCAATGAAACTGATGCCACAGTCATCTTTCAGCCAGTTGGTGGCAGTTTATTATACTGTTTCAAGGATTCTAATCTCTTTGTTGGAGACTTTGAAGAATTTTCAGAGCATCTCTATAACTCCAAAACATGGTACTTGGTGGATGGTTCAGTTCCTGAGGATGTTGTAGCAAGAACAGTTGTTTCTGCATCATCAAAAAGTATCAAAGACAGAAGATTTCAAGAGTTTATTAAAAATCTTGTAAACAAATTTTGCATGCCACCATGGTCAATAGAAGAATTGGAAGCCTGCCGATTAAGTGTCTTTCCAGTGGTACCACTAGATTTGATGCTTGACCTCAGTGATGAAGCAGGTGGTGTACCAAGGTATGTTCTTCAGATACCAGCATCTATTATTCGTCAGGAAAATCCCAATTTCAAGGATCAACCAGTTGTTCTCAATAATCGGGGTGTGATTAAGAAAAGGTCTTTAGAACGTGTAGAAGAAGCCCTTTCAGAAATTAGTGATTTCAGAAAGCTTATACAGTGCTTCTCTGAAAATGCACAATATGTTGAATTTAGCAGTCATCTTATTCATCAGTGGCCAGACACTTTCTACCGAGAACAATCCCTCTCATGGGCCTCTGGTCGTATTTTTGATAAAATCCAGAAAAAACTGGAGGATAGTAGATGGAGCAATCTATTTCTAAAAATTCAAGATCCTGATGACCCTTCCAGCTCTAGGGGGATTATGTTTGAGTCACATGTACTCCACCTCTTCAAGCTTGGTGGTCAAAAGTTTGAATCAAGGAGACTTGGAGAAAATGAGGTAAAATCTTACATAATTATTTTTGATATATAATGATTGAGAAAAGATTAACTATGGCCTTTTTCATTATTAGAATGATCCAGTCATTTATGATAAATTAACTATAGCAACAAAACCAACTACAAAGTATATCTGATATGCAAACCAGCTCACAGGATATAATGAGGAAGACATAATTATCAAACCAACCATAAGAAATTTCAGTGCAGTAGATTTGATTCTTACACCAAACTATATCTTTCAAATTACTGTGTCTCCAAAACACCCTGTGAAGCAAAGTGAACTGGTCAACATAGTTCAAAATATGCTGGCATATAGGAAGAATCCAAATGCAAAAATTCTTTTATATTTTATTGTGCCAGATGACATATATGATACCTTCAGATACCAAAGTTATGTAACACCCAAGAAAAAAATTGGAAACGATCTTGAGGCCTTTCAGGCAGTTAAACATAAGTCTCCTATCCTCCATAATGTAGAACAATGGGTTGTAAAAATTAAAATGGCACCTGAAATGACTGTAACGTCTGTGCTGAACAACGCGATTGGTTTTGAGATGGGTGCATGTTCTTCGTCTATATGGTAACCGAATGCTTGTTGTAATTGTGACATTATCTTTGGCTGGTGTGAGATTTGTAACTTTGTACAAATTATTGTCCAAGCCAATTAAGTCATTATCTGAGTTTGTGTAAGCGGTAAACTTGTATATTTGGTATCCGTCTTTCGTATCAATAATCTCGAGATATTGGACATTTTTTTCGCTGTACCTTTCATCTGTGATAGAAACGATATACACAATAGCTGAAAGACTTGCAATCACATTTGATAAATAATAATAATTACAAGTGATGGGTTGACATTGTTATCTTCGTATTTATATTTTTTGCTTTTTTTACATCGTCAATTTTTTTAATAATGTTAGATAAATATAAAAATGTATTTGTCATATTTCAGTGGAAACCTTTTTTTTCCGAGTACAGTTGATACGTACACTATCAGACTTTGGACAAACGCGATTGTTCCATTGCCGATGCGATGTGGACGAGTAGAATCGAAGTCCGTATTGGCCCACGTAAACATAACGCCTTATTTTATTGATGGTTTGCAATGAAAAGTATAACTGATAGCCACTTGTGCTTTTAGGAATAGATTTACCACGGTAAAAGATTGAGATTTTGACGGCTAGTGTCGAATGTCCAATCAATATCTGATGATTTTTCCTTGAAAGATGGTTACGGGTAAGTGTGGATGTTAGCGTTAGTATTGATTGATCGTCACACAATGGCTGATTGTGTGATAGGTAGCGCATAGCATGGATTTCATTAATGTTTTCTATTTGAAAGACGGTTAAAGATAAGTTCTATTGTGTGATAGGTGCGCATAGCATGGATTTCATTAATGTTTTCTATTTGAAAGACGGTTAAAGATAAGTTCGATTATTAGCGATAATTGATTTGTTTATTGCATGTCAAACTATTCAATGTTATTGATTGGTCGTCACACAATGGCTGATTAGTCATGTGTTTCATTAATGTTTTCTATTGAAAGACGGTTAAAGAATTGATTCGTTATCTATTCAATGGTGTTGATTGATCGTCTGATATTATGTGATGTCTTTATTTATTTTTTCTTACTTCTCCCACACACATACCCCTTTCTCTCATTCATTTATTTGGCGTGCTTGTTTTCTTCATCC